TCTTGTCTCTGGAGTCTTAGACACCAACTATCCGTATGCACTCTACATATTGAATGCTGTGGATGGTGTGAATACGCAATGTACGTGCTGGGATCCACATGTGAAATCTGATAAAAGTCATGGATGCCATATTTACAGGGGATCTTTTTTTTCTGTTTTTACGCATTTTAGTTTGTTTTTGATTAAATCGATCTTTGAACCCTTGCGGAGATACGACTGCCCAGATCAGCATATTTTATGCGGTCAGTGTTATGTTATTCAGGTAAAACAAAATAGAAGCGCACAGTTCCTCTAGCAGCCATATTGAAAACTATTTTTTTATGTTATGATGTTTTTTTTCCTTTAATTTTTGAAGTCTGGATATTAGCAGCTGTACCAGAGACAGGTCAGTCTAGGACAGGGGCTGTTAACCCAAGTCTGAACCGGCCAACTCAAAGTTGTTCACAATTATTCTTCAGATAGTTACTTCTAACACAGTTCCTTCACTACAAGACAGATAGACATTTGGGATAATTAGTCTAACATCTGAAATGTAGAGCACAGTTAATGTTTGCAGCAGAAAGCAGCCTTGACTGACACACCAGGACCTGCTGAATGGCCGGACTCCGATTTAATGAGGTAGATTCACAACAAGCCAGTTAAATAGGTAAATTTGTTTGTTCCTGTCAGAACTGCTGCTGAATGGGTTGTGGAAGGCAACTGTGAATCTTCAAGAAACTTAAGTCCCAGTGACCTGCTGTTTATTCCAGCCTGCCTTGAATTTCAATGTATCTTTAAATTACGTTCATTCATGCATAAAAATAGACATATAATAATGCCATTAGTCCATGAGCTATTAGTTGAGTTCTCCCCAAACGAGCTTGATGGACTGAATGGCCTCCTCTCATTGGCATATTTCTTATGTTCTTATGTTCTTATCAGTCCGACACAGGGCACATGGTGAGGGGCCCCAGGGAGAGATATCAGTCCGTCACAGTGCACATGGTGAGGGGCCCCAGGGAGAGATATCAGTCCGACACAGGGCTCATGGTGAGGGGCCCCTGGGAGAGATATCAGTCCGTCACAGTGCACATGGTGAGGGGCCCCTGGGAATGATATCAGTCCGACACAGGGCACATGATGAGGGGCCCCTGGGAGAGATACAGTATCAGTCCGTCACAGGGCACATGGTGAGGGGCCCAGGGAATGATATCGGTTCGACACAGGGCACATGGTGAGGGGCCCCAGGGAGAGATATCAGTCCGACACAGGACACATGACGAGGGACTCCTGGGAGTGAAATCAGACTGACACAGGGCACATAACGAGGGACTCCTGGGAGTGATATCAGTCCGACACAGGGCACATGACGAGGGGCCCCTGGGAGTGATATCAGTCCGACACAGGGCACATGGTGAGGGGCCCCTGGGAGTGATATCAGACTGATACAGGGCACATGACGA